CTCCTGCAACCTTTTTTTTGGTGGGGGGGCGCCGGCGTTGGGGGGGGAGGGTAGAAGAAAGTAGAAAAAACTAACTTTTTATGAATAGTTTTTCCATTCCTCCGTCTGCTTTTAGGGCTCTGGAGCTCTCAAACAAGGGCACTTTTCTTTCAGTCTTTTTTTTTCTTGAGGTAGGGGGAAAATGTACCAGGCTTTTCTAGTCTGTATGAAGCTGGAGGACTGTTTTTTTTTTTAATAAACCTATTTTTTGTTCATTTCCCTTGTAAGCTTCCTGCAGTACATTTGATCCATTAGGGGGTTATTTGGGTCTCGTGTATATCTTTAAAAATCCTTAGCAGGCACTGGTTTGCTGCAACTAAAAAAAGAGAGCCTTTAAGAAGTTTCCTTGTAAAAATGAAACAGTAACAATTCAGAATTTCATCAAAACCCCTTTTAAAAGGTGATTTTTCTGCTCGTTTTTCTCTGCATTTTTCATTATGTGCTTCCTAGAAGCCTGGAGACTTTATTTTGAAATAAAAGAACGTAGCAACTGATGTGGTGTATCCGGTAAAAAAGTATTTTGATGAGATGGAGTTTTAAGTGTCTTTATGCAGACCGTTCCTATATCTAATGGGGCTTCCTCCTGGTTTAGAGGGCATGGCGGTGCCATTTTAAACAGAGGAGACTTGCATTCAAATCCTCCCAGTGGATAGCTTAGGCTGGTCACCGTATCTCCTCTGAGCTACCTCGCAGGGTTGCTGTGGGGAAAGACAGAATCCACGCCTTGAGCAGCATGGAGGATAGCTTGCTGAGGCTTTCGATCCGGTGCACTTCAACCCTACAATCTCTCTAGCCCTCAACAGTCTCTCTGTGTGTGTGTGTGTGTGTGTTTGTGTTGGCAAAGCAAAAAAGTGTGTCTCTAGAACCTGATCCATTCATCGGATCAGCAAAATGTTGCATTTACTGATCGGGGCCAGACAGAAGTGTGACTTGAGTCAAAAGATATTAAGGTATGGCTTAGACCAAGAATCTTGTAAGTGCTCTAAGGTTTGCCTTGTTTATAATGTTTTTTACCGATCCAATAAAAGTATTTTTAAAAAATTTATATACCACCTCATTTGTGCAAAGCATGAATCTGGGTGGTTTACAATGTCAACTTGAATAAAGATAATTGAACAGTAAATTAGTTAATACAGCAGCCAACCTGTTAAACTCAGCATCCCACAAGAGGTGGAATTATCAGATGTAAAAGGTGAACGGGGAGGCGTAAGAATCGGGCAGGGCTGCAGGGAAAGGCTTATTTTAAAAGCAGCGTTTCCCCGAGAGCCTTCTAAACACGAGGAGGGAGGGGGAACGGGCGCAGTGTCACCAGGAGCCGATTCCAAAGCGTCGGTGCCACCGTGAAGAAGGCCCGGCTTCTCCTGCACGATTCCACCGTGGCCTCCTTTGGCGTGGCCCACCCGGAGGAGCGTTGGCCTGAGAGGATCTGGTGGTGCCCTGGGGAAATGGCCCTGGGACAAGGAACGTGGTCCCAAACCACCAAGGGCTTTGTAATGCGTTTGGTTTCCACAGAGAGGGCTCGCCCAACGACTTCCTTTTTTTTTTCTTTTATCCCAGGATCTATTACGAATCGAGGCACAATTGATTTGTGTCATTGGTTCTTAAGCAGGGCTCTTAAAACAGGTTGCTTTTGTCTGCAAAAATCAGAGGGCATTCAGTGAGGTTTGCAGGACGACCACGAACCGGCAAACTCCCTTTCTCTTGACCTCGGTTCCAGCCGGTTTTGAGCTCTCTGGTGCCCTCCTGGCATGACGCATCGTGCGTCTCCTGTAAACCACCTCTCGCCTGCACACACAAAGCCCCTGGAATCCCCTCCTGGAACTTGCATTCCTCAGCTTTCCCCTTAAGGCGTGCGTGCGCGGGTCATTCAATGGCAGGAAGCTGCATGCCCGGGAGCTCGGCCTTACACCGAGCGAGCGGGTCCTGGACACAGCTGGGCAGAGTTAGCCAAATGATGGGGATGCTGCTGCGTTTGGACTGATGGCGCACTGTGCCGTTTAAACATCGTCCTGTTCAGAAGCTGCCTTTTGGTACTAATGCCACCCAAAGAGGCAAAAAAACAAAAAAAGTGGGGGAAAGGAAAGGACAGACAGAAAAAGGAAGGAAGAAAAAAAAGAGAGAGAGATTGTATGATCAATCGTGCAGTAATACGAGAGAGCATCTTTACCATTCGAAAGTGCCAAGAATGTGTTAAATCAGAGTCTCTCCACGTAAGGAGCCTTTCCAGAGCCTCGTCGTTAAAACAAGAAGACTCCCCAGGCACCTTAAAGAGGAACAAACGTATTGAATTTCCCAGGAGGGAGCTGCCGTGATTGGGTTGCAGAAAAACAAGGTAGAATCTTGTGGCCCCTTTAGGTTTAAAGATTTTAAAACGCTACAGGTACTTTGGGATGTTTTGATTCTGGAATGGATGTTTGTGGACAGTATCCTGGGCTGATTAGCCCACAAAACTTATACGGTAACCAGTTTTTTTTTAAAAAAAGGACCTACCAACAGGCAGATATTGGGAAGCAGTTAGCAACGAAACATCAGAAAACGAAGACGATTTAAATGTTCTTCTAAGGCTGGCTGTTCAAAAACTAGGAGTTTGGTTAAAGCCGGGGCTCTGCACCCTGTTTTCTTTACGAAACTCTTGCATTCATCTCTTCCGGCAGAACATCCCGGAATTCTGTGATGCTTTTTATAAGTTTGACCCATACGTTGGAGCAAATCTTTTTGGTACCGTGAGACTCTTTGGTATTCAGGCCAGGAAGATGCTCTGTCTTGTGCATATATATATGTTGGACGTAAAAAACAGGATGTCCAGCGGCTGCTTAATTCAAAACATCATCCATTGTATCTGAGGGATTGGGGCTCAAGGGTATATTTTATAGCTGAAAGGTTCTGAGCTGGCCTCTTCTATTCTGTGCAGAAAGCGTCAAGAAATGACAGATCTGCCCGGGTTGGTTGGTTGGTTTTGTGAATGAGGATGCAAGAGGATGCGAGCCACCGTTCGGTTTCGCCGCGGTGCTTCTTTTTTATCTACCCGGTGCAGAAGCTTTTAGGTTTTGCGTCCTCGTAAATTCTGAAGTTTCATTTCTTTCCTGGTCCTCAACGGACAAAACGTCCTTGGGGACCGGTTTGAATGGAAAGAACGACAAGCCACGTTTCACGTGTGGTCTGGTTAGTTTCCACTGGAAAGCGTGCAGACGTGAACTTCCAAATCTAGTGGCGCCCAGAGGCTGGTCACTACAAAGAGTTCGC